TTAATAAAAAAAAAAAAAAAAAAAAATATATATATATATATATATATATATAGTGCTTCTTAAAATTATTTTTAGGGTGCTTCTTTTTCCGTTTGGAGCTTAACAGATTCAACAAAAAAAGTATTCCACAAAAACAAAGAAAATCATACAAAATCAGAATGAGGTATTCCTATCAAATTTATTCATATTCATGTTCACAACACACTTAATATTATTTTGTAAACTAATGACATCTATAATACTAGATACAATAATGAATAATAAAATAAAACAGAATCTCATACAGCATACAACAGAAGTGAGTTCATCCCTGTGCAAAATCACTTCAAATGATTCAAAATAGTATCACCTCACAGTAGTCGTGGCCTAATGGTTAGAGAGTCGGACTCGTAACCCAAAGGTTGTGGGTTCGAGTCTCGTACCGACAGGGATTGTAGGTGGGGGGAGTGAATGTACAGCGCTCTCTTCCACCTTCAATACCACGACTGAGGTGCCCTTGAGCAAGGCACCGAACCCCCAACTGCTCCCCGGGCGCCGCAGCAAAAAAAAAAAAGGCTGCCCACTGCTTCGGGTGTGTGTTCATGGTGTGTGTGTGTTCACTGCTGTGTGTGTGCGCACTTTGGATGGGATAAATGCAGAGCACTAATTCTGAGTATGGGCCACCATACTTGGCCACATGTCACGTCACTTCACTTTTTCTAAGCTGAAGATTAGTCTCTTTCATTCTTATTCCGAGGTCACCGTAGCCATACGGATCCAGTCTGTATCCAGATCAGATGGTAGATCAGCACCTAGGGCCTCATTTATAAAATGTGCGTACGCACAGATTTGATCTCAGAATGTGCGTACGCTAAAATCAACGGCAAAGTTCATATTTATAAAAACGGTCTTTGACGTGGAAAAGTACTTACCGCCACGTCAGGGTCTGAGCAGGCCTACGCACTTTTCCTTGAGGTAAAGTCTGAGTACTGCAGCTACTTGAATATCTAAGCTGCAATAATAATAAAAGCGGAGTACGTGCAAGCACCGAATTCATTATAAACAACAAAGATGCAGTGTAAGAGATTAATTGTGCAGTGTAGTCAGATTTTTTATTAAAGGGATACTCCAACCCAAAATGAAGATTTTGTCATTAATCACTTACCCCCATGTCATTCCAAACCTGTAAAAGCTTTGTTCGTCTTCAGAACACAATTTAAGATATTTTGGATGAAAACCGGGAGGCTTGTGACTGTCACATTGACTGCCAAGTAAATTACACTGTCAAGGTCCAGAAAAGTATGAAAAGCATCGTCAGAATAGTCCATCTGCCATCAGTGGTTCAATCTGAATTTTATGAAGTGACGGGAATACTTTTTGTCCGCGAAGAAAACAAAAATAACGACTTTATTCAACAATTTGTCTCCTCTGTGTCTCTCCGCATCACCGTAGCGCCATTTTGGAGAATATCCACTGAAATCAAGCAGTGTACGCTATTCTGTGTCAGCCGCGACACAAGGATACGTTTTCTACGTGTATTTACGCTTTGATTTGAACTAAAACAGCGCATCCGTGTGGCGCAGCTGACACAGAATAGTGTACGCTGCTTGCGGCATGGGGGTAAGTGATTAATGACAAAATCTTTATTTTGGGGTGGAGTATCCCTTTAACGAGAGTTTTTGCGAGATTAAACTGACCTTTTTAGTAGCCTAATATTGAGAGTTCTTTACTCGCTTTCTGTTCAATTTACTACTAATGCGTAAAATAGAAGGAAAAAAAAACGCATCTCCGACTGTTTTGTCTTTGCAGCCTATAAGAATAGCCCTATGTAGTGCAATAATGGTTATATTCTATTCAATAACATTGTTAACTGCTTTTATTTATAACATCTGCTGCTTTGCTTCTGTGAAAATGAATAGAGACATCAGCCTTAAACTTTGTTTTTGTCATTTACATGTTATATTTGTGTAAAATACACTATATATTTTTGTGTCAGTACATTAATGACACATTTGAGCAGCATTAGTAAATGTCTCAGGTTACGTATGTAACCATGGTTCCCTGAGTAGGGAATGAGACACTGCGTCCTCTAGGGGTCGCTATGGGGAACGGTATACCCACACCACCATGCTGAGGGGAGTGCATGCCAGAAACCATGGCGAGCACTAAGTACCAACTCTACCATAGCCATGGGAGTTGCCCCTGGGAAGTTAAGACGGCTGTCAGTGACATTAACCCCTACGGCCAAAGGCCTAGGCTACATACCCCAAAAACTTACCTGTTAGGGCCAGAACTCCTGGGCCCGGGGTAGAGCTCAAGGCTTGGAATCAGGAATAGATTCCTTTAAGGGAATACGACCAAGAGCCTAGAATCATACTAAGTCTTGGCCTGTCACACAGGGGCTACCGCATGCTCTGCATATGCTGAAGGAACTGTCTCAACAGACCCCTAGTGGCAACACCCTGGTAAAGTAGGTATCCAGCGGACACATAAGTGGAGTGGTGCCCAAGGTGGAACCGGGGCTTTAACCAACAGCATGAAGCTGCCGCGCGTAACTCTTACCATACATGGATTTTAGAAAGAACGCAAGGTACTAGCGTGCTAACTTACCACAGTGTGGATTTTAGAAAGTGTACAAAGACTTCACGTGCACACTTACCATAACATGGATTTTAAAAATACCATTCTAAGGGGCCTTCG